CCATCTCGGGTACTCACCTCTCCCGCTCCTGTTCCAAGAGGTTGGTAAAGTCATCGCTCTTGTTCATGTAATCTGTATGTTTATGTTTCTCATTTTCTAACTCATAAACTGTGCGTCGATGGCACTTTTCTGCCAACAGGAGCTGTTCCAGCATGCGCCGATACGTCTCTTTCTGCTTTTCTTCAAGTCTGTCCAGCTGGATTGTAGGAAAGGAGAATAGATTGTTATAAAGGTCTCCTTGCTTACTTCATCTGATTTATTAACCAACAGTGTTGTGTTTGGTAAATGCAAGTCGCATATTTTTATGTCTTGGGCTTTACATAAAGCAGGGACTAGAAATAAGAATAACTGTCCTGTAAAAGTAATGATTTCTTTGGATGGCACGCTTGCAATAAACGTTTCTGTGGTTCTCAGATACACAAAGGACAGAACTTCGCTTAGTTTTAGGGTAACAAATAATATAACACCTCCCTCATTTCACAGGGAAAAGCTGTAGCAAATCCCAGGGCAGGATATGTGCCCTCAGACCCTGGGAGCCTGAGTTCACACACCTATATGGGGACTAGACACCTACATGTGGAGCATAAGGTGTAAGCTCAAGGCTGAAATTTGAGTTATGCATCTTCAACGCACCTGTGGGATTGCTGAGATAAAAAGTCTGAACTTTTAGATTCAGCATAGATTCAGTTTTACATTACCAAATACAATTCATTATAAGCCTTAGGGTTTTCCCCTCAGACTATTTTTTGACAGAAATTTTTCTTTATTAGCAACACTTTACCTTTTTTTGTCTTCAGGGATTTTTATAAATTTAATATGCCAATTATTATTCAAACAAACACTAAGGCCAGGGAAGTGTGTCTAAAAACTTGCCAGGGCACTCCAAAGCCACCACAGCTATTCACGTTGCTCCTTTCACTGTTTCTTGGGAGCAGATGACAAACTCCATCCTCCTCCCTGCCAAAGCAGCCCACAGCCCTGGCACTTCTCTGCTTGCCTTCCCCCAGCACTGTGGCTGGCAGAGCCTGTTCTGCCCACCCCCACCCCATCCCTGTGAGAATTGCATCTTCCTCGGCCTCGGCTGCACCAGGCAGTTGTTGTTTCACCGGGTGCCTCAGCAAACTGAGGGAAACCGGAGGGCAGGACTTTGGCGATTTGATCTCCAGAAGTTGACCGTGGTAGTCAAAGTAAAACAGTCATTGCATTTTACAAAGGAGCCAGGCTCGGTTCATCCCTTGAGAGCAGGTCTTTTGCACTTAGGAATTTTTGTCACCATCCTATTTTAGCTCCAACATAACCCTTGTGGACCTACACATGACAAAATTTTTACACTGAGGTGCCTGTCAAATTATCAGCTTCTTTAGACAAAAGCCCTGCTCAGCTCTTTTAATCTTGTTCAACAGTATTTCATGCATGCTCCCACATGCTAATGTTTGCTTTCTTTATTTACTATCACCCAAAAAATTTCAGAAGATGCTTCAATGAGATACACAGTATAAAGATATCCCATGGTCGACATAATTCCTGGTGAAAAAATTAAATGTTCTAACAGGAAGAACTACAACGATTTGGACAGGCACTACATTATATTATATTGTGCATTGTTGCACAC